AGGATGGCATAGGACGATAATGCAACTACTATGTACAATACAATTCATATCTGTGCCAGCCAATATAGTCTCTACAAGTACATTTGTACATCATGATGGCATAGGACGATAATGCAACTACTATGTACAATACAATTCATATCTGTGCCAGCCAATATAGTCTCTACAAGTACATTAGTACATCATGATGGCATAGGACTATAATGCAACTATAGCCAGCCAACATAGTCTCTAAAAGTACATTTGTACATCATGATGGCATAGGACGATAATGCAACTACTGTGTACAGTAAGATTCATGTCTGTGCCAGCTAATATAGTCTCTACAAGTACATTAGTACATCATGATGGCATAGGACTATAATGCAACTATAGCCAGCCAACATAGTCTCTAAAAGTACATTTGTACATCATGATAGCATAGGACGATAATGCAACTACTGTGTACAGTAAGATTCATGTCTGTGCCAGTCAATATAGTCTCTACAATACATTTGTACATCATGATTACATAGGACTGATAATGCAACTATAAATGTTGTGTATGTTTTATCAGCATGTACGATTCTGTGTATGAAGTGTCCCATATTCATAATTGGTATTTGCCACTTTGTTATTTGTAAGTATTATTTGGTGATTTTGTGAATGAACAAAACTTGCATAAATTTGAAAATATTTTCTGTAACTTGATCAGTTGGTAAATATATGGTTATATTAATTCAAAGATTTTAATACGTCTGATATAGATGAACTTGAAACACAGTTTCAAAGAAAGGATGAAAATAATACATTGTGCTCTGGTTCAGTGGGTGATTTTGATATGGTGTGAAATTGTTTTATAGATATTGGAAGTATGAGTTTATTGCAGTGTATGGTTTGCAACTAAAGGGGTTTGTATGTTTTGAATGCAGGCACATCAGATAGTATTGGTTAATAAACATTTGAAATATAAGAATACTTATTAAAGATTATTCCATTTTTCATGTTCTTTACGTGAATTAAAAGTCAATGTAATGTTCACAGATCTTAAGATCTGTAGTGATATGATGTGATAACATTTTTGTGATTTCAATTAAAAGTGTGAGTGGTATATTTTTATCATAAACAAATCAATAAACTAAACTGCTTTCGTTGTATGCTTTAGTGGTTCATAATAGGGATTGCAAGGAATTACACAACCCTAATAGAACATTTTGACAAAAAGCATCTTAAATATTCAGCTCAAACAGCACTTTAAAACCTTTACTATTGACTGCTAAGGCTGTACAGATATAAATAAAAAATGCATAAAAATACATGCATGTTAATCTTGCAAGGAAAAGGATATCCACTCAAAACAGCCTGTTTTTAATTGTTCTTCTCTTGCCAGCCTACAACAAAAACAGCATGGTATATTGCACACAAATCTTTTGTAGAATACAAAATAAGGTACTGTGAAGGTTGTATGGGTATTGAAAACACTATTTGTTTCTTCTGTATTTACTTAAGCTAAAAAACATTATAGTTTTGGTGTAAATGATGTTATCATTACCCCTTGAAGTTAGTTTTCTTAAATATATCTGGTGTTCCTTTAAAAAGCTCAAGTAAGGGGTGAAACAGGAATTACTAGCCAAAAATAGATGAACATTAGATGACTGTAACATGTAGATACTCAGTGCTTTGTACATTATACAATCAATGTCTTTAGCGAGCCAAAGCCTATATTATGTATGAAGTGAAGGAATAAAAAGTAAAGTCAATACACACAATATTAAATGTTATTATACACATTCGTAGAATAATGATGTTAAAGATATGAAGGTTTATTTAAAGCAATGTTTTAGACATGCATGCTTTATTTGACAAGACTACTTTTTTACTGGTAAAAATTTATACTCTATTAGTGGGGGTTGTCTTAGTCTAGGCATATATTTCCCTATTGCTATGCATTATATATAGAGAATTTAGTTACACAGAAACTATAAATACTCATTATATTCTCAAACAAATCTCTGTGACAATCTTCAGCTGGAGCTCAACATTTTACATCTCGAACTAATGCAATCAAATAGCCAATAGCCACAGTAAATCATCATGAACCTTATCAGCTAGCTACTAGCTATATTAATTATCATTACAATGTATAAAGTTAGCTAACATATCAAGTAATCCTTTGTCCATAGTTGAGCATAAAAAAAAAAAAAAA